TTTCTTTGTGATGTCTAATCTATAGCATTTTCTTTATTTCAAAATTGCATTTTTCAGCTTTTGAATTTCCATATCTTCATTGAAGGGTCCCTATTGATATTTTCTATTCGCTGTTCACAATGTTCATGGTTTAAAAACATTGAACAAATACACATAGAATACTCATTTTTAGGTGGTCATCTGATAATTCCACCATTTTTGTCCATTTTTATTCTGTTTTGATTAGCTATCTTTTTATTAGCTAATAGGGACTTTCTTGCTTTTTTATCTAGCTTTTTAAAAATTATATGCTGGATGTTATGGGTGTTACAATTTTGAGTTCTGAATTTTGGAAGACAGTGTTAAATTTTGTTCTAGCGGGTAATTAAATTACATGCATAACTGCTTGCTTTTTAATAAGCGTCTTATCTTTGTTAAAGCAGGTCTAAAATAGCCTTTTGTGTAGAGTTAGATTGGACCTACTTCTAAAGCATGTCATACTTGGAGTCTCTAATTAATATTGGGGAGCTAAACAAAATCTCTTCACTCCGAGTGGTCTGTACTCAACTGTCTCACAGCCCTTCGTGTGCTCCTAGAGTTGATCTGTTCCCAGCTATTCTTTGCCTAACCTTTTAAAGTATTCCCCGAAATACGTGTAGCTTTGTATTTGGCCAAAGACTCGAGGTAATCTTGTGCAGATTTCTAGAGTCCCATCTCTAAATAGTTCTCTTGTCTATAAATGCAATCCGACTCAACAGCGCCTTGAACTCTAATTTCTATCTCCTTAGCTCAGTGTGACCATTTTCTTATTTTGGCTTTCTCCTTTCTGTGCCACAGTTTAAAAGGTGCCTTGAATCAAAAAGCCAGCCGGGCGCGGTGGCTCACGCCTGTAATCCCAGCACTTTGGGAGGCCAAGACAGGCGGATCACGAGGTCAGGAGTTCGAGACCATCCTGGCTAACACGGTGAAACCCCCCGCCCCCCATCTCTATAAAAATACCAAAAAAAAAAAAAAATGCTGGACTTGGTGGTGGGTGCCTGTAGTCCCAGCTACTCGGGAGGCTGAGGCAGGAGAATGGCGTGAACCCGGGAGGTGGAGCTTGCAGTGAGCCGAGATTGCGCCACTGCACTC